GGGAGAGCCGGGCACGGCCGGGGCGGTGGGCCGGGGCGGAGGGGCCGGATCAGGGGGCGCCGGGCGGGCTGCGAGAACACCGGCCTGGGGCCTGCCGGGGGTTCGGAGGCTCGGTTCGGAGCGGCGGCGGCCCCCGGAGGGTCAGGCTTTGGGGGCCGACAGGAGGGGAGCCGGGGTTACCTGAGATAGAGGATGTTGAGGTCTCCCCCGCCGCAACCCGGCCCGGCGACCTTGGGCTGCCCGCGCCGCGGCGGGGCCGGGGGTCCTGCCCTGCCGGTGCCCCCGGGCCCGGGCCCAGCCACGGCCGGACCTGCCGCGTGTGAGGGGAGGCCTCGCTCTGCACCGCTTACCCAGGTCGGGGGCCCCTCGCTGGGCCAGGGCACGGCGATGGCATCCCTGTCTCTTCGGGGATGCTGCTCTGCTCCCAAAGCAGCTATCACCCSTTGCTCGCTGCGTGATGCAGGGAAGGAGGGTCAGTCCGGCACCGTGTGCCGCGGAGGGGCTGTGGGAGCCGAACACCAGCACCGTGTYCCCGTTGTGCTTTGTCCCCGAGGGTCTTCGGTGGTGTCCCCGCCGGGCCGTGCTCGCCTGCCTGCTTCGCGCGATCCCTGAATTCTCTGCAGAGAATTATCCAGAAGAGGAGCGGAGGGAGTTGAGCCACCTCTGCGTTTCTYAGAGAAATGCTAAGGAAGCATCTGTAACGCGTTTGCATGTGGGAAGGTTTTGTCTGTGGTTTGATGGGCTTCCAACTTTCATGTCCGTGTGTTAATACAGAAGTAATACTTGAGGTGAATGCTTGCCATTTCGTCTTCAAAGCAGTATGTTTTAGCATGGACCCAGTCTTGTTGAACGGGTAGATGTAGCCATTCTTTGCCAGTTTGTGATCTTATTTCCTGCTGGACATACTCGTTGCCTTGTATGTGACTGCCAAACTATGTGAAGTGACTCAGTTGCTCCCCTGTCTTTTAAAGAAATTGAGYGTTAGGCTTTCCTAAGATAATGTACAGGAGTTTCAGACATCTGCTCGTGGCCTGGAATGAATTATGATACAGCACAGCCTTGCTTTGAAGGCAAAAGGGAAAGCTGGCTGTGAGACAGACTTGAAATTAGTGTGCTGCAAGTTGAAAATGTCCTTTCACGGACAGATGACTTGTCAGGCAAGGTCTTGGGTGTCTGGTCATGGCCGTAGTTCACGGAGCCATCAGTCGTAATGTCCTGGTGGTGCAGAGGGCTCTGCGTGTGCCAACAGGGTTAAATTTGTGAGCGCTGTGGGGGAATTGGGGTCACCACCCTGACTTTGTGCCAGAGAACCCTGGATCAAGCCCACATTTATTGGGATAGTGAAACCCGCTTCTCACCAGCTGAGCAGGGTGGCTCTGTCACTACCAAGCTAAGCCCTTTCTCCTGTCCTCTGCCAGCAGGAAGGATGGGTGCAGAGGACCAGCTTGCCAGACACTGTCCAACTCTCAGTCTCTAGYAGAGGTCAAAAAAATCATTGTGACTGCTGATAGTGATATGTATCTTTTAATTGCTGGAGGAGACTTCTCCTGGGAATGCATCCAAACTGCATGGCATTTCTGCAGCCTTTTGGCAGGGGCATAAAGCAGTGTAATCTTAAGAGCTGTCAGAATTTGAGATTTCGGAAGCACTTGACTGTTTGTGAATGTTGAATGGCCGAGTGATGCAGTGCGTCTGGAGAGGGTGGTTGACGGTCAGGAGCTTTGGTGAGACACTTCTTGCTTTCCATGGTGCCTGATTCAATACTTTCMCTCCCACTTTTCTGTTGTTTTCCTTTTATGTTCTTGATGATTTGTTACCAGCTGAGCAAGGAAAAGTAATGCAAAGTATTTATCTAGACTTTACATTCCTGCTTTGCGTTTATSTCATGGAGGATGTTTACACTGTCTGCTGGATAATTTGTTCATTGCATAGGAGAAWTACACACTTGTACAAGTGAGAAATAATTGGTACAAGTGTTGCTCTAATTTGCTGTTTAATCAGAGCCAAATGCAGTCTGGGGAAGTGGATGCCATAACACCAAGGTCATGAGGAGGGTTCTGATGTTGTTGGCTTAACAACATCAGATGTGAAAAACTCTGGTGTGGAAACCTGAATTCAGGTTCTGCCTTACTTTGTGATTTGACATTTGACTTCTTGTGCAAGAGTTGTCTCAGGTTTGGGGGTTAAGCCTCCCATTCTCAGCATTAAGGGCAGCAGAGGGGCAGGAGGTGGCTGCTGTGAGCACTGGCAGTGGTGGTAGAGCTCTRTGAATGCTGCTTGGTTTGGTTTTGTTGCAGGATGGTGCTGTTGTGTTTGTTGCTGGTGTTTGGAAATCTTCCTGAGAGAGTCTCCAAGATCTCAGGATTTGAAGGGGTTCTCGTTTGGGAAGAGGTGGGAAGTTGTRTCAGAAATACTAAGTGTCAGCTGTCAGTGTCCCAAACACAAGCACTCTACAAGCTGATGTGTTGTACTGCAGCCTTTGAGAGCAGTTTTGKGCTGCGTGGGCCTCGTTTGGACACTGGGTCCCTTGGGTTCAGAGCTGGAACATTCTCTATTTGCTGTGCTCTGCCTGAATATCACCAAGTGCAGGCTTTGCCTTTGCCGTGGTGTCCTTTCTCATCATTCCTTTAGACCTGGCCACCAGAAATAGTCCTGAATATGCAGTGTTGACATTTGCAATGAGCAGCACCATTGTGTGTGCTCTGCTTCATCTCCCCAAAGAGGCAATGGCCTCTCAGGGCTCTGAGTATGCCAGGAGGTGACAGGGCTGTACCTGCTTGTCCTGCAAAGTAGATCAAGGCACAGACGTGCATTCAGCAAGATTTCCCTCTAATCTTTTCTTCATCCCGAGGACCCTGGAGTGATTCAAACACCTGGAGACTAAAACTCACCACTTTTATGTAAACTAATAGTTAACGTGTGGTGCTTTCAGGCTTGGRGTAATTCATTATAACATCTTGGTATTTTTCATGTGATTCTGGTAGTTCTCTGTAAGAATTAGAGTAGGCAGTGGTGGCTTCTGTGGTGTGGGGAAGCCCTAACAAAAGGCTCTGTAAATCCTTCTAAGAAAGAAAAAATTAAAACAACTTCTTCAAGTGGCTGCTCCTTACTTTCAYTCTGCAATAGCCCTGCCTGATAAATGCAGCCAGACAGTGTGTTGCTCTTTTTGTTCTTTTAATCTTGTTTGTGACAAACATGCTTCACTTCCTCCCGAGCAACAACAGCCTATTCTGTCTAGGCAGGGGGTCACTCTGTGTTTATGGGGGAAAAAGAGGCATCTGGTATCGTGGTGTGGTGCCAATGTTCACGCTGGCTTTCCAGAGATTCCATCTTTGTCTTAGTTCCAAGAAGATGTAACCTTAAAATAGAGAGTATCAAAGGACTCTCAGCCATCCAGCACTCACTGATGCTCCTGGAAAAAGCGTTCATGCATACAATAGTTAAGCCTTGCTTACCTATTATAAGGTATTGGTACCTCTTCATATGTTTTAAATTTGGATTTGGATCTGGATTTGAAGATGAATAATGGAAGACAGTCTTGAGCACCTTATCTGCAAAAAGCTTGTAAGCTTAATGTATTCTCCTGTGTTGAACAAGGGGATGCAATCCTACATTTAATATACACCCAGGATGACTAATCGGTGTATTCATATGTTGTTTAAGATGGTGCTGTTTATATATAGCAGTGCTCTGGTGCAGAGACACCACTTGGTGCCTGGTGACTGGTGACTTGCTCTGTTTCTTGGTAGATCAGACAGAAAATGTTTCTTTTCTCTGCACTGGTTTGGTAATTGCTGACAACTTTTTGATGTGTGTCAAAACCGGTCTAATCCTAAAACATTATTTCTTACTTTTTTTCCACTGCATCCAATCTCTTGATGCCTTGGCCAAGGAGGCTGTAGATTTTTAGGCAGAGTAGCACAATATACCTTATGGCTGCACACTTAACATGGAGGCTCAGCTGCTGTATCTGGAAATCACATTTTGCAGTACTTGTTTCCTGGCCTGTACCAGATGTGAGGTGTGGTTTAACTGCATTGTAAAACCACAGGTGACTAGAAAAAGAACCTACAGGAAATGACTTGCAGGCTGAATTCTGTGCGATGGTAAATGCCTCCTCTTAGCTGAGAGTGCCTTACCTTCTACCATTTATTTTGTTCCTTCTGGATCACACTTATATTTAGGGATGAGGGGATGATTTGTTCTTAATGAGAGCCTACACTCCTGCCCACGCTTCCTGGGGAGAGTAGTGTTCAAGCAGTCTTCCAATGGTGTGGTTTTAAGGCTGAGTATTAAAAATACACTTGATATTTCTCCTTCCCCAGAGCTGTCTGCCGGTGGTTCTCTCTCGTGCCTTTGCAGGCTCTGTTCCCCCATCTGTTCTTCACCGGGACCACGGGGCTGTTGCTGCAGATCTAACACTGCCATGAGATTCCCCAGTGCTGGGGTTTTGTTTTGGTGAATGCAGTTTAGGAGAGTTTGAGTGTGTTGTCACAAAATCTGTGTGTCTGACTGTCTCCCTTTCTTCTGCTTTAGCTGATTGTGCATTAGTGGACCTCGCAGCTGTCGTGTCAGTAGGCAAAACCAGAAACTGCTGGGCAGCCTGAGTGCCTTCCTTGTGAACAYTGTCAGTAGGAGGGAAGGTGCTCAGGAATTAATGAAGTGCCATATTTGGTGAACATCTTGTCAGGAAGAGTCAGACTAATACACAAAATATGGCTAAGGGGAAACATATTTACACATCACAGACTGGTAAATATGGTTAATGGYTGAAGTGTATTTGGAGCCTCATATCTGAAAAAACAAACCCCAAACCCACAACAGCAAAAAAGTAACAAGGCAAGTAATCATACTGACAGGCTGTGTAGTAAATGCACTCCTTGGGGTTGTTTTCCTAGCCTAAAATACCAGTACMATTAGCAGAAGAAGGAAAACCAGTATGCCTATCTCTATAAACAGGCTTTCGAGATATGTGAAAGCATGATTSTGAAAGAATAAATTCAAAATTGCACCCTATAAACTACTGCCTTTTGGCTGTAATATTTTTTGCAAACTGATGGAAGGCTAGAGGGGAATTTTCTGATTTTCACACTAAAATACATTTTTAAGAAAAGCCTTTGCTTCAGAGAGGGAAATACCTTTTTGGGACTGCAGGGCAGCTTTCCAGTACACACCAATACAGGGGTGCAGCACCGACTCTTCATTTTCCCTGGTGCCATTTGTGAGGCTGAGCCTCCCYGTGTCATGTTTTTCTGTTGGCTGGGCAGGGTTGGGACCCAGGGTGCCTTGGTGCAGACTGGCCAGGTGAAAATTTCTGACCTTCCTCCTGAAGCTCGTGGTTGTTCTGGGCATGGAGYACCCCATGTTCTGCTTGGCTGATGGGTGGTGTTGGGTGCAGGAGAGAGCAGGGTGCTGGAGCAGCTTCTCAGAAGTCCTTTGGGTGGCTGGTAGGAGCAGCCCTTTCCCCTTAGCAGGCAGGTTTGGGTACTCCCACTCCCAAACCTGCATGGCAGGCTCCCTGTAATGGGGCTGTGGGGTTATGAGCAGCTCAGTTCGGGACACTTTTTCTCTGCTTTGTTTTCCTGTAGGTATAGTTTTCCTTACTGTTCRTAGCTAGTGTCTATAATTGCAGCTGTGAATGGGAATTACATRTGATTTCCAATTCACATAAAGTGAATTGTAATAGGCTTGTAGGAGGAGGTGTCATTAATACATTGCTTTGCACAGAGGATTCATTTTGTTTTCAGTATAAGGTGAGACTTGAGTTTGTGCRTATTCTCTGCGTATTTTCTCAAGAAACAATTGTTTTGTCACCTCTTAATTTCAGCAGCTGTGTTTATGTACGTGTTCTGCACATTTTAGTATTTTTCTGTCAGGGCTACCCTCAGATGTGTGGCAAATGAAACGTTCTATTTGTGCCATCTGGAATTGTTTTGGAGAAGAGGGAAGCACGCTGACATGACTGACAGTGTCCGTACAAATCCTGCTTGGACTGTGCCGTTGATTCCACTTGGGAGGTCTTAAAGGTTTATGCATTAAAGTGTATTTTGCTTGCAAGTGACACAACTATTCCATTGTATTTCAGGGTGAAGGCTGTCGTACTGTCCCGCTTTCTGGACACGTAGGATTTGATAGTTTGCCTGACCAGCTGGTTAATAAGTCAGTTAATCATGGGTTTTGTTTCAACATCCTGTGTGTGGGTGAGTATTTCCATTTTGGGAAGTTCTCTTGCTGAAAAGTTTTTTGCAGCTGGATGTAGCTTGTAGGTTACAGCGTTAACAAGGTTGCTTTGATTTAAATTTCCCAACTGTTCTATTTTCAGTAACAAGATTTACTAGTGCTCTGGGAAATCCCCACTGGGGTTCTGCAGTATGGCTTTTTACCAAGCAGTGAAATAAAATGCCTACAATCASAGGCTGTTATTATGATCTTTCTTTTCCTCTTATGTTTGAATGTCACATGTTTAAAAGAAAATAGTACTCATGCCAGAGTACTTTGTTATGAGGTCTTGTTTGGTTAAGTATTGAATTATTATTATTATAATTATTTTAACAAAATACTAGTCATGCTCCTCTTAAATCACTAAAAGCTATTTTTTTTACTCCTCCCTTCTGTGCATACTTGAATTAAGATAGTGTCTGGCCAAGCCTTAACTGTTCAGACAATTATCCAAGCTGCCATGTGGTGTGGATCACAGCTGGGGCCTGGCACTGTAGCAGGACTTGGTGTCTGTTCCCTGCAGCCCATCTCACAGGTTTTCCCCAGCTTTAGGATCCCARATAATCCTTCCTCTTAGGTAACAGAAGTAAAACCCTGTATGGCTTTGGTACTGGAGTTAGGTAAGTGAATTAGGAAATTAATAATAGTTAATAATTGTTGGATGGATTTGCTGCTGCCGGTGCCCTGCCTCTGRGAGCAGGATGTTAATGTGTGGCCATGGCTGCTCGGACTAAGTCCTGTCTGCACATGATCCCAGCAGTGTCTGGCGTGGCAGAGGGGAGAGCAGCAGCTGTGGACACCTCCTGGGGACTCGTCTTAGCTGGTGGTCAGCTCTGCGTCCATACAGAGGCTTTCTGTCCCTTCCATGAGATATACAGCACATAGTCTGGACCTGGTGTTTGCCCAGGACAGGGTTAAGCCTGAAACGAGAGTAGTAGAGCAAGGAGAGGAGAGCTGGAGCCCWGTTAAATGGAGCTGAGAAGACAATTTTCCTTACAACGGCATTCCTGTGAGATGATAAACTTTGCTGACAAGTGGAGGTCACTGTCAGGCTGAGTCTCTAGGTGATTTCCACAGTACAYGAATGTGATATGACCTAAGGAAACTCCTGTCCCCAAGACTGAAGTCTAAAAGTGTTTCCTTTTCCACTTACTGAGCTGCAGGGTTTTTTTTACAAGCTCTAGGTATAGCAGTGGGTGCCTCCTGTAGTTRTATGTTCACTTTGATGTGTGGAGGGGAGCTGAATGCCTGTGCTTTCCTCTTTGCAGGGCAGAAATGGAATGCATTAATCACTTGTCGATGTGAATAACAAGGACTCACCAAGATCAATRTGCATTAGTTGTTAATGTTAGTCTTTTATGAATAGCAATAACACAATCTTGAAATAAAGGAACTTTATAGAAAAATGTAATAAACATCTTTAATAAAAGGTTTGCAAATCTGTGCCCCCACACTTAAACATCCTGGAGGAAGAAAACAAGAATTCCCAGAGTTCATCTGTCATTTATTCTGTTGGATCTCACTTGTACAGCAGGAGTTTGGGATGAAAAATTGAAAAAACAAGAGAGCAAATGAGTATTGGATGAGGATCCCATAGATCCTCACTAAGCATGACAGAAAGACACTCCATTGCCCCCCATTTTTTAGCTGTGTGTGGCATCTGTTGGAGGAAAAATCCAGTGATAATTTTGCTCTGCATCGTACTGGATCTGAGCCACCGATTCCTCCAGCTCCTGGTGGAGAAGCCAAGGAAAGCTTCAGAAATGACTCTCAGCAGTACGTCCAGAGTAGAGCAATTTTTAGCTCTTCTCATGCTGAAAACTGTCTCCCCTGTGAGACTGGAGCCAAGGCTAGAATAAATGAGAAAACCTCTCATAAGAAGTTAGGGGTTGCGGGTGGTTTCTCTGATCTTTTATTTCTGAGCACAGCCATTTTCTTCCTAAACCTTCCACAATAGATTTTTAGTTGCCTCTTAGTTCAGTGCAAAAGCTGGAGAAGTGTTTAATAGCTGAGACTTTCTGTGCTAACTCTCAATGAGACAGGGGAAAAAGAAGAGGAATATGCAAACTTTCTCAGTTTTTGCCAGGGTAGATTGTAGTTGCATTAGGCTAGTATCCCAGTTTAAGCAGGATTTTCCCCCTTCCTCTCTCCTGGGATTTGCAGGGATTTTTTTCTAACTGGCTTATTCAGTGCAATGAGAAAGGCTGTTTTGTGGCAGAAATACTTTACTCTTCCCAAGGTCTGTACCCAGACTATTTGAGGTCTCACTCCAAAAGACTGAGCCTGTGGTGTGTGGGAGCTCTCACCTTGGGGGTGGSAGGGATGTGCACAGGATTCCTGGTGCTCTCCAGCAGGCAGCTCTGGGGTGATGAGCTGTACAGCCTGAAAGTTGCCCAGTGGTTGTTTCTGTGGTCAYCAGCTGAGAAGAGAAGAGTTTCTCTAATCAAAAAGCCATCTGTCTCCTCAGCCCCCTCCTGCCCTGCATCGCTGGTCCCCTGGGGAGGATGCTGGGAGCTGGGTGCTCCTTCGAGGTGTTTCAGTGTCTTTTGTGAGCCCTTGTTGCCCTCCTTGCTCCCAGAGCTCAGCCTTTGCCTGGCAGTGGGAATTGTGTGGTGTCTCTGCATGCCTGTCAGATGAAACGAACTATTTTTCTCTCCTTGAGACGTGGCCTTATCAGTCTGAGTTGCCTCAGGGCTTGTCTCAACAAACCTGCTACATTGGATTAGCTCCCATTTCTACACATGAAAAGGCTGTGCATGCGTATACATTTTCTTTTAAATTGAATTATTTGATGTCTGGATCCACGGTTGTTAATCTTGTGAAGGACAGGTGCTGCTCTCTCATGAAAGGACACTCTTGTGAAAGCTGCTCCCTGGCTTTGAACAGGGAAATACTCCAAGGACTCCTCTGTCCTCCCATTGAGTCTGTTGATGATATGACTGGGGCCTCTTAAATCCTGAGTGTTGTGGGAGAGGAGGCCAGTGAGCAGTTGCTTGTTTCACTTAGCACGTGCAAGGGAAAAGCAAATTAAATCTCCAGGCACAGAACCAAGAGGTACATCTTTCGTGGTGTATAGTTCAGCTTACTGCTGTGGGTGCTTAGGATGCTAAAAGTTCTGTGAAAGGAGGAAGCAATGAAAGCTCATTCAGCACTAAGATACCTGTCTGGGCTTGGGAAGTTAGGAGCTTTTCCCAGCTGTAGTTTTGCAAGTGGTGCCACACTGTTCCATCAGTGTGGGATTTGATGAACTGCTTCCATAGAGCAGTGAGGATGCCATGTGTGTGTGCAGTTGGAGCAGGGAACATGTCTCAGGAGAATGAGAGGATGTGTGGGGAGCCCACATGGTGACTCCTGCCTGGCAGGCTGTTGGGCATTAYGAGTGGATGGTGCTTTCTGAGCACTGATGCAGGGCTGCCACATGTCCAGAGCCTTGGTGTCTCTTGCCACTTTTATATTTTTTGTCTCTGAAAATCATCAGTTAACAGCAAAGCTCCATCCCATGATGAAAGGTACAACACTCCATCTTTTCCATTGCTGTCACAGCTTCCTGGTGCAGAGCTCTMCCGGTAAAGGTCACTCTCTCTGCCCTGTCCTCACCACAGAGCTTTGTCAGCCCTGTTTCAGGACAGCAGACCATGCTGAGTTGCATAATCCCTAAGCACGGTTTTGGAGATCAAATCACATCTGTCTATAAGCCTGACATCAGGAAATAATCCCCCTGCCAGGGATGTCTCTCACTYGGTTTGTGTACACCGCTGCTTTTTTCAAAGTAATTCTGCCTCTTTTAATCCCTGTTCATAGTTTCTGGTTTTTGGGGAAGATTCCAGTGCTGTCGGCTGGAACAAGCACAGACCACTTGTCCTTTTTATCAGACCGTCTGTTCCATCTGGACTCCTGTCCTTAYATGAAGCAGTTGGCACCATTCACATCTTCCAGCCAGCAGAAAGTTGCCTCTGTGTGAGGCAGAAACTCCCAGAAGATTCAGAAATTCTTCCTTCTGTCRTTTCAGCTTTCAAAATAGCACTGCTCCCTATCTCTGCTCATATGAAACACAGCAAAACACTTAGTTGGTGTCTTCTTTTACCATTTCATGTCACTCCATCAGTGTTAACATTCTTTCAGCTGAGACAGCCTTTCCTCTCTTCTCTGTCTTTCCTGGCGGGCTTTAAAGCTGTTTCATGTGAGTGGGGTTACACAGTGCAGGGACAGGGGTATTTGCTGGCTAAGTGTAAATTTGGGAGTGCAGACTTCATATTTGAGATGCCATATTAGTGCCTGGGTGTTTTAATCATGAGTTGTAGGTGTTTGGATGGGCAACTCCCACCTGTGGAAAAATGCCACATTTCAGATCTTCCCCTTCCAAAAGGAAATCTCAGTGTTTGACTTCAAAGTTGCCTTTGCTGGCCCTGCATAGCTGGCATGAGGTGGAGTAGAAAAGCATGTTCTGCATCTCTTAAACACTTCTCKTAGCCTCTCTGACAGTTAAAGTCACTCCTGCTGGGAAAAACCACTTTRGATTGCTTTTAAGTAGGCAATGATTAACAGGTTCAGGATGTGCTTAAACAATAGTCTTGGCCTCATATGAACATCTTTCACCCAAAAGAAGGAGGGAGGCAGAAAKGAGAGGTGATTACAGGGTGTTGTCTGCCCRGAAGYCAGTGTGGTTTMCACATGACCTTGTGTACCCTCTGGRGAGCACAGCTCCCTGTCCTGGTCACCACTGCTGCTCCCCTGTCACTCTGTCCTGCAGCCCTGGGGCTGCTCTGGGGTCTGCCAGGCCGTGGGGCAGTGGCACAGGAGGAGGCTTTGCAGGCTGCTGTGTGGGTGGCACTCCTGCACCCCAGGGCTGAGGGACTCCCCTGTCCTGAGATGTCCCATCAGGGTTCCTGGCATTSACAGGCAAGCAGCCAGCTCATTGCTCTGTCCCACCCATCCCTTGGCAGGGGCTCTGGAAATGCTGCAGCCTTCTCAGGCTGTTTAGATTTTTGTCYTTTTTTACACTGCTGTTTTCCTGGAACCCCTGAGAACAGCCTGGTAGGTCACACAGGCTGTTTGCTGTTAACTCTCAAAATCCCTGTCCAAACCATGGCAATCCTCTAGTCTGCTGTGCTTTTTGAGCCTGCTCCCTTTTGGGGCCAAATGGTACCCAAATGGACAAGTCCAGACAATGAGATTCCRAGTCAACAAAGAGCTTGTTGGACCAGCTTATTCTTCCAGCAGCAGAGGTAACCTTGTGCTTTGCAGGGTCCCCCTCCCTTGGTGTGTTGGAGGTACAGCTGATGCTTTCAGGTAGCACAAGGGACTGCAGCCACACCAGCTCCTGGCACTGACTCTTTCTTCTCCCCCTCGGATTGCACACCAGATGGATGCAAAGAGCAGCTGCACTGGTGACTGTTGTGGCCATAGCTGGCGTTGGTTGGGGATGGAGCACAAGCTCTCAGCTGGCTCCCAKGCAGCTCTGCAGCTCAAGGTGTACRTTGACTTTGAARTGTTAATGGATCTTGCAGCCTCTGGAAAGGTACTGGATGTGTGATCCTGGCAATCGGGGACTGCTCACTTCCCAGAGCGGGGGRTTTGGGGCTTGGAACTAGATGATCTTTAAGGGTCCTTCCAACCCAAACTATTCTATGATTTTATGATCCTATGTTTTCCTCGCCCTGCCATGTACTTCAGCCCTGAGTGAGAAAAGTCCCTTCTGAGGCCAAGAGAGGAATTTGYCTGCTTGCAGGGGTGAGGCTTGGAGATTTGGACATTTGGATGGGGGAGGATGGGGAGGAGTTTCCCCTTCTGAATTGGGCATTTCATGCAAGTTTGGATCTGCTACAGAGCTCTAAACCTACAAAATAAGAAGCTCTTTTATTCTGAGCAAAGGGGGAAAATGGTGAAGTTGTTTTGGTTGGGAGCTGAGGGCTGGGGGAAGGAGTGGAATGCTGCTGCAGCCAGACACAGACTCTCTCCCTGAGGTCCAGCAGGCTGGAGGAGCAGCCTTCAAAAGAGGGTGGGGTCTGGCCACTCCTGAAGTTTCTCCAAAAGCCAGCTGGGCAGCTCAGAAATTTCTGTTTCCCCAAAACACAGCAGTCTTCACAAGGCAACAGACCAGACTGCGTAGGAAGTCTGATCCTTTGAGCTTGGAGAGCTGGCTCTGCTGTCAGAGCCTGGTAAGGCAGGCTGCCCTATGGAATGTGTGCACAGAGGGATTTGTTTTATTCTTCCTGGGATGTATCTAAAACAAATTCAAGACTCGTCTCTGGGATTTGTCTCTTCCTTTCAGGCAAGGAAATAGTTGCCTGTTGATAGATGGAATCCAAAGARCAGTTCACTACTCACAGAATACTAGCAGAATAGTCACAATACTAKCAGAACTTTAGGAAGCAGATTTTGCAATGTTGTACAGCTTACATAGCCCCTAAGGTATGAAACCAGATATTACAGAGATGCCCCCTCCCACTATAAAAGGCCGATTCTCCAACTCAGTGTGAGAAACAAACTGCACACTCTTGCTGTYGGACTAGAAGCAGCTCTCAGGGTTTCTGCAGGGAGGGAGGCTATTTCTGTGGCTGCTTATTAGAGACATTGATCTGGAGCAGCTTTTTTTGGAAATGGCAATGAGCCCCATTTCCTCTCCCACTTTTTAATGAAAACAGCATCTTCTGTAGTGTAGTTGTGGGTTTAAGCAGGATCTGAACGATGCTTTCCCCTTCGCCTTTTCACCTCTTTCTTTTCATCTCTATTTTCTAACGACATTAATGGCCATTAGACTGTGAAATGTAATTTGCCCGGAATACAGACCTCCCATTGTTCATGGCTTTCTGTTTACCAGACGCTCCCTTGGGAGCATGAGATCTGCTTTCATCTGCTACAATTTCACCCCTGTTAATGTTTGGAAGCTGAAAGGCCAATCCATATTAATATTCARCAGAACATTTCAATTTTCTTTTTGTCCAATAGGGGAAACTGGCCTTGGTAAGTCCACCCTCATGGACACCCTTTTCAACACCAAGTTTGAAGGTGACCCAGCATCTCACTCACAGCCTGGGGTCCAGCTGAAATCCAGCACCTATGACCTGCAGGAGAGCAATGTCAACCTCAAGCTGACTATTGTGAGCACGGTGGGCTTTGGGGATCAGATCAACAAAGAGGACAGGTGAGTGTGTGGGAGAGAGGCTGTTTTGTGGCCTGGCTTCTCATTCTGTCTGGGCCAGATTGCAGAGTTTTTCCTGCTTGCTTCTTGGGAGTTGTCCTTGTCACCTCTTTGGGATGGGACAGGTAGAAGAGAGGACAGAGGCTCTGGAATGTCAGCACTGCTTCAACTATAAAGCAGCTTTTCTCATGCTGTCAGAGCAATATCTGCCCTGCTGGCAGCCTTYTGCCCAAATTCATCTGGTGTGGAGACTGAAATGCTCCAGGGCATCTGGGCTTGTTTTGGTTTGTGCTGACCACAAGCTGCWGACCAAACCACTAGTGTGTTCTAGTGTCTGCTTGGCTTAATATCCACTTCTGGCAGGGCTATTCCATGGGAAGAGCCAAAGGAAGCACGATAAATGTGCAGTGAGATACCCTGGGGAAGTGTGCCTGGCAGCTCACTTCCAAGAGTGGCTGGAGTGTGTTGGTTAAGGGATGTGCAGTTACACCAGATGGTCTCCAAGGTGCATCTCTGCAGAGGCATTGCTGATGGGATTTGCTTTTTTGTGGGTCTGTGAGATTTTTTTTTTTACGTTTCTTTAAGATGCACTGATGACCTTTACATTAAGAGTCTGTCAGGCTCTGTAYTTCAGAAGGCCTTGCAAGGGAGTTGCAGGAATTTCCTGCCCCAGAGCACTGGGCAAAGGTAGTACTGAATGGAGCTGTGTCCTCCAGCATTCATGGCTGTGAGAGCAGCAAGGCACTCCCTGAGTGCAAGCAAGGGTTACACACTGCTGCAAGTGAGTCTACATTAGCCTTGCTTTAGAAAGTCTCTCACCCTCACGTTTCAAAATACAAGAGTCAGCTTTCCCTGCAGGGGATGGTGTGTCTGCTATCCTCGACTGAATCCCAGTACTGTTTGACAAACAGGCTGCTAGAGTCCAATGCAGGATCACATCTCCTTGTCAGTTGTGAACTTCAAAATTTCTTACAGGTGGGGAGCAAGGGAGGTGGAAAAAATTGGTCTCAGAAAGTGAAATCTTACAACAGCTTGTTTCTTAAAAGCAGGCAAAGGAGCATTGTCCTGTCTGTGAGATGTGTAGCTTTTTTTTTCCTTTCACCAAAGCTATAAACCCATCGTTGAGTTCATCGATGCTCAGTTTGAAGCCTACTTGCAAGARGAACTGAAGATAAGAAGGGTCTTGCACAACTACCATGACACCCGGATCCACGCTTGCTTGTACTTCATTGCTCCGACAGGCCACTCCCTGAAATCCCTGGACTTGGTGACAATGAAGAAGCTGGACAGCAAGGTGGGCATGTTTAACTTTTACTGGGCAGATTTACTGATTGCACAATGGAAAGGCTGCTGCTTTTCCACAGCATTTCCCCACCTTGAATACTGAATAGCCCTTCTGGTGGAAATGATCGAGTTGGCAGATAATTTTGTGCATTTATTGAGCACTTACAAGTTTTTAAAAGTCATATTGCAGACTTGGAGAAACTCCCAGGAGCAAAATTGATTACTTCATACCTCTTTTTTTTTTATTTCATACCTCTGTTTTTTTCTAGGTGAACATCATTCCCATCATTGCCAAATCTGATGCCATTTCCAAGAGTGAGCTGACCAAGTTTAAAATTAAAATCACAAGTGAACTGGTCAGTAATGGGGTGCAGATCTACCAGTTCCCAACAGATGATGAATCAGTGGCAGAGATAAATGGGACAATGAATGTAAGTGACTCGGTGCTTCCCCCTCTCCCAGAACAGCACTGTCAGTGAAGGGGTTGGTGGCCCATATTGGGATGTTTCTTAAATCTACTTTCCCTTTTATTTTGTGGCTTAAAAACAGAGGGTTTCCCATCTTTGTAGTGTCATCCTTGGCTAGCAGAGCCTTGTGATAGGGTACTGCCTCTCTAGTGGGCTTTTCTGGTCAGAAAACAGACTTTACCCTCCTTGTCCTTGTATATATCTGTTGAGGGACATATAAGAAATCAGTGTTTAATCCTTTGCAGCTCAAGGGTTTGTCATTATTTCTGTCCCATGCATCACCTGATGGACTCCCACCAGTAAACGTCCAGGATTCTGTGGCAAGGAATTATACAGCTTAACCAGCAACGTGTGAAAAACAGTGCACAACTTGGGCCAGACACGTCTTGAGGTGCCTGCAGGTGCCCATTCTGGCTCTGGACTYCCCAGCATCGTGGGTGCCTGTTTATGGCTCCTTGAGGATGAAGCAAGCTGTCCCTTGGCCCCTCTGACAGMACATCCTGGCCATGGTCCCATTTTCCAGAAGGCTTTTCACAGGAAATCAAGTAGGGGAAGKTGCTTGCTTCGCTGCTGTGGATGTAGTAGAGGTCTAGCTGATGTGCATTTGTGTCACCTCTTGATCTAGCATTAATAGTTGTAGAGTGTTCTGGAGAGGCCTGAAAGAAACGTGCTTTGTCCTGACGTAAGAGCGGTCACTGGTGGTTTCCTGGTCAGAGCAGTTCTSTGTTAGCCCTTCTGAGGGTGGAGTGAACATCTGCTTCTCTTTCCTTTCAGCCACTTACTTGTCTCCTGGGAGGGAATTGCTGTTTCGGGTTGCAGGCATTCTGGGATGTGTCAGTTCCTGCACAGACACATCAACTCTTTAATCTTCTATTACTGTCAGAATTATCAGGTTTATGAGGACTAAGCAGAACAGAATCTGAATCTGATCAAGGCAGTTTTGTAGGTCTGGACAACTTGTGTGCAGATCCTGATTTTATTAAAAACATAAGACAAATCTTACTCTGTGTGTGTCCCATGTGAGAGCTGGGAGACCGAGCAATACAGGGGAAGAGCCCATCTCTGTGAGTGCTTGCTGGCAGTTTTGCCATGTTTGCAGTTTGTATGAGACACACTCTGAAAGCAAAAACATCATCTCCAAAATCTTTTGCTTATACTAGCTGTCATGAACTTGTCCAAGTTTCTGGATAACTGGAATTCACTAGCTGCTCTTGAGAGCAATCCAGGGTCACTGATCTTCCATGCAGTTGAATTCCTGAGGCCCTTTCCATTGCCTAGAATTTGGTGCACTTTAAAAGCTCTACCTAACAAATGTCACTGCACAAAATTCAGCAGAAGGGGTTGGTGCAGGGARCTGGGAACTTAAAACTGAAACTTTGCACTTGACTTCCTTGCAGCTTGGCAGAATGCAGTACAGTTCCCAGGAGCAAGTGGAGGTGGGGAGAAATCTCACAGAAAAATGCAGCAAAGTACAATGGCAGTGTCTGGGGGGGTTTGCTTGGCTACCTGAGTTTGGGAAATAAGGGTACTGTAAGGTGAGGTCTTCAGAGCCTAGATGGGTGTTGGGAGTGTTTCAGTTCCAATTTTGCTGAGCTTGCACTGGGCAAGTCTCTTACTTTTTGCCTTCTACAGAGAGATCATCTTTTCTAAGAAGTGGCTGTTTCTGATTTCTGAGTTTCTGAAAAGCAAATCCCTCTTAGTCAGCCTTCTTGTACTGTGGGGTGCACGTCTCAGCTTGAAGAGTGTAACAAGATCACAGCATGACCTTGGGTCACACAGGACACAGTGGCTGGGGTCATGTTCATCCCTTTCTCACCAAGGTGATAGCAAGTGGGGAGGAAGGAGCTGTTACTCTGGGGATGAAGGATGGACTTCCATCTCATGATCGGATGGAGCAAGGTGTCTTGTGCTCCAGCAGGAGCTGAAGGAGTGGTGGGGGGATAAAATCAAGAAGGCTCCAAGWCCTCTTACTGCTTCTGTGCTTGTGCAGATGTTCTCCTCAGGCATGGCAAGTCCTGGGACAGTCCTGCAGTCCGAGCCTCAGCACGCTGTTCCAGCTGTCACTCTGAGTGAGTCTTGCACTGGCTCATCTCACCTGAGACCCTGTGGCTGGGAGGATCAGCCAGGTAGAGGATATAGAGTGGTAGCACTAACAAGGTTTCCAAACAGGACCCATCCTGCTCCCCCCTTGTCTTGGGCTAGTGGCCAGTGACTAGACTCCCTGAGATTAGCGTGTGCATAATGACTGTCTTGCTCAGTGGCTGTGCTAATCTGTGTGCTGGTGGGGCAGCCACCTCTGAGAGGGACTAAYGTGGGTATCATTAAATGTGTTCCAGGCCCACTTGCCATTTGCAGTGATYGGGAGCACGGAGGAGCTGAAAATAGGAAACAAAATGATGAAAGCTCGTCAGTACCCCTGGGGCACAGTGCAGGGTGAGTTGAGCCCTRGGGGTTTCATGGCATAAATGGTGATACTTGTGCAAGGAGGCACTGGGCTTTCATAAAAGGAGCAAGGGCCTRCTGGACTTGATTATCCATGGGGGATTATCCTTTGTTAAATCCTTGTGTCATGCCTATAGTGCCAGTTTTCTCTGCTTGGAAGGGCTGTTAAACCTTTTGGAGGAGTGGACAAGTGGGGAATGTGTGAAGAGATCTTAGTTTCTATTCCCATTTTCCTCCTTACGTGTCTTCTTACAGTGGAGAATGAAGCTCACTGYGACTTTGTGAAGCTGCGGGAGATGCTGATCCGTGTGAACATGGAAGACCTTCGTGAGCAGACCCACACACGCCACTATGAGCTCTACAGGCGATGTAAACTGGAAGAGATGGGTTTCAAGGACACTGATCCAGACAGCAAACCCTTCAGGTGAGATCCCTGGAGGAGACAGGAGAGCTTGAGASAGGCGTTGTTGGATGTGCTGGGTGCATTTGTGTGTGTGTCCTTGGGAGAGCACAGAAAGAACCAATGCAGCAAGAAAATCTGCCAGGTCAGATWAATCCAGACTTCAGCAAAGGTCGAGTGAAAGAAGGTGAAAATATGGGGAGGGTGTGCAGGGCTGACTGTGAAACTGCAAGTATGGGAATAGAAATATCTGTGCTGCAGAGACAGCACTGTTCCTCTGAACTAGTGCTGSTTGCCAGCTGGTCTCTTTGAATTACCCAACGTTCAACATACAGGGAAATGCCAAAAATCATTGGATGAAGAAGACCTTGGGTAAATGTGGGTAAGTGAGTAGCAAATGTGTTGTGTGCAAAGCAGTATTCATAGTGTGGGCCTGACTCCAGATGGTTAGGGAAAGCAGAGGTTGTTCCAAGTCTTACCACTGGACTTTCCTTTCTTTTTAGCTTACAAGAAACTTACGAAGCCAAAAGAAATGAGTTTCTGGGAGAACTGCAGAAAAAGGAAGAGGCAATGAGGCAGATGTTTGTCCAAAGGGTCAAGGAAAAAGAAGCAGARCTGAAGGAGGCTGAAAAAGAGGTAAAGACTGCAGTACTTGTGTCTTCATGRTTGTGACAGATTCACTCCCAAGTAGGTAGTTGCTGCCAGAGCACTTTCTGCAGAGTGTGGTTTAGGACATTCTTGCCAAGATGTCTAAGGTTTAACTTGGATGGGTATGTTAAGGTGTTCAGTCTGTAGGACAAAACTGAATCACATTGTTTGTTGTGAACAACTTACTGCACCAGGAAAGGGCCAGAGCCTTGACTCTGATGGAGAGTGCTGTGTGGTAAAAGTCGAGGAGAGAAGCARCCCCTGAGATGAACTTGTTTTAGAAAAAATACACCCATACAACTTCCTTAGCATTGTGAAAAATCTATTCATTTACTGATCTTTAGAGAGGAACAAAGCAGAAACCCCTGAAAAATGGATTTTGTTTTTTTTTACACTTATGCTGTCCCAATCCTCTAATGTTAGTCTGCACAATGATGYATTACCAGAACACTGCCTGTTTGTAAGTTGTTGTGGAAGGAGGCTGTTCCCTGCCCTTTGTCTAGGCACTCGCAGCTCAGGAGCTAGAAATGATGTTGAGAGCAATGGAGACTCACAGGCACACAGGATCTCAGGGGATCCTTCCAACTTCCTCTTTTCCTGTGAACAGAATATCTGGTAGTGCTGGGTCCTGCTCACCTCTCTCCTTTCCCTTTAGCTGCATGAAAAGTTTGATCGCCTGAAGAAATTGCATCAGGATGAAAAAAAGAAGCTAGAGGATAAGAAGAAGTCTTTGGATGATGAAGTAAATGCATTTAAACAAAGGAAGACAGCAGCTGAATTGCTTCAGTCACAGGCTCAGCAGGCTGGAGGATCGCAAACTCTTAAAAGGGATAAGGAAAGGAAAAAGTAAGTTGCTAATCCAGAGGTATTTGCTTTTTGGTAATGGTTCTCCTTTACTATTTTTCTCAATGTTCATATCTGCTTCCCTACATAGCCAGTCCTTATCAGAGGAAGGTTTGCAGCCAGATTTAGTCCCTAAGGCTGAGCAGTAGCTGGAAGCTTTTAACCTTCAGCTGTCATCCTGAGGAGCAGGGAGCAGTGCTGACTTTGCCTTCTGACAGCCCTGGAGAGGGTGAACTTGTTCTTATTCCCTGAGATTCCCTGCTCCTCCCTTGGTCTCTCCGTGCTTGCAATGAAGTGGAACCATACTGGCTGCCAAGGCTAGGGTGTGGGTAGCAGGGATGTCTCTACCCTCAGAGAGGAGCACGTTCTCTCTCAGGTTCTTACTCGTTTAGGTTGAGAAGATTGTGGAAATTATTCAGGGAGACTAACAGTTTTGAATTCTGCAATCTGCAGAATGTAAGGCTGCAAAATTAGGGGACAGGTCATGGCACCTGGTTAGCAATAGTACTCTTCCCCARTCCTAAATCAGCTTTTTGCCCTCCACAGAAACWTGGGAGATASYRCATGGTTTTAGCAGGGGTTCCCCCYGCCRGGGAGGATTTTCCCCTGGTATGACAGGATCCAGCCCCTCATCAGGGTCTGGGATCTGGGCTGTCTGCAGTGCCCGTGCCAGGCTCTTGAAGCTCTGCAGTGGCTCAAGAGCAGCCAGCTGCACAGTGAAAGAGATTTCCCAGTTCTCCCCGACTGAGCAGTTCCTTTCGTTCTCACTGTGGTGCATTTCCCAAATCGGAGAAATCTCTCCCAAATGGAGAGAGTGGTGTGCAAACCAACAGGGGCCTGGTTTGGTACCACTGCCATAATCCCTGCTCTGCACAGCCCTGGGGCAAATCCAGGGTAGATCTTGCCTGCACTACACCGTCCCAAGTACATGAAGAAGTGCTGTTCAGTTGGACAATATGGRCTGTGCCCAAAGTGCTGGCAGCACTGTTTGTCAGGGAAAAAGCCTGTGACTGTTAGGGTTGGGATCAAATGAGACAGAGAAGAAAAGACCCAATTACGAGAATGAGATACTGGTTTAGTCTTTTAGTTTAGAGCTGGAGCTGCTTCAACATGAACATTCTTTTGCAGTGAGCAATTAGTGCTGCCCTTTTCTCACTTGCCCATTCCTTTTTCCACTGCCTATTTTGATTTGCTCATTTAAATTACCTTCAGGGTGTTTTAATATCTTTTYATACTGAGGAGTCTGAGACTGACTGGGGACAGACTTCTCTCCCCAGCCTGGACTGTGTGAAGAATACCCAACTGAGTTCTTTCATGCTTAGAGCCCTCATCTGCTCATTCAGGACTGCAGACTTCATCCTTGAGATCAGTGAGGGTCAGGAATGCAGAAAAGGGARGCAACAGCCCTATAGTATCAGCAATTAGTTGCTGTGGCCCAAGTCACACTCTCGTTCCTTGAAGTGGTTCTCATCTCAGACCAGCTCCTTGACACCAAGCATGTTGATATGGAAAAGCTTTGGTACTGTCCTTGTCAGTTAAGGGCACAGAACACTCCATGGCACAGATAGGTCAGTGCTTCAGTAAGGCTTGGGGAAATAATAGGAAACCTCTCATGCCTTCGGGAGAATTGCTGTGCTAGAAATGGTGCTGCTTTCTTTGCTCTTTAAGTTCTCCAATTGTCCTTAGTAATTCATTTCAGTATGTAGATCATAAACTTTTCTTAATAACCCACAAAATCCGCAAGCTGGAGCTTAATTGTAGCTTGTTTACTACTGGCTGGCAGTACAATAGCCTTTTTCTTTCACAGGTGACTCATTTAAACCCAAGCTCTGTAATTTGCACTAATGATGACTCAGTTTATTTTTTGTTGTTGTTGTTACATCATTACCATCATTATTAGCTCTTACATGTGTGCTGTTTTACAGTTAGCTGCTGTTTGGCTGCATGGTGCATGAGGCACATTGTCCTGGTAAGCGTCATTAACTAATAGAGCCTCACAGTGGGATCAGTTACCCTTCCTAAAAAAGCAGACCTTGTGCTAGTCCTGAAGCCTTTAAGTATTATCTCTCTCTCCTCTGCTTTCACCCCCACTATATGTGCTCTACCAATCTCACTCTACATGTGCAATTGTAGRAAAAGGATGGAATTGTCTTTAGAGATTCTGAAAAGTAAAATGCAGAGACTCAGTATTAGGTTATGATACATGGAAAAATAAGGATTACATCCTCTTCCTTTTGAATCTTCACAGCACTTTGTTGGCTCTGATCTCTTTATTCCATTTCCCTAAGAAATAAATTATATTCTTTAATCACACAGGCCACATTGATACTATGGCAACCATTGCTATGGAGATGTGGTGCTGATGATACAGCCCAGCTAGCCATGGAAATGTGTCTCCTTTCCCCTCCTTCCCTCCCACCCCTCCAAGTTGTAATGTTAACTTGTGGTTACAGTGCAGGCGAAGGTAAATGCAAGGCCATTTTTATTATCCTCATTTGGATTTTTAGTTAAATTGCTAATGAGAGCGGCCTGCTTACAGCTAGGGTGAGTGAGTTTAATTGAGCCTTTTGAATTTGCTGATGAGAGGAAGAAGAAAGCTCCCACAGGAATGTTTTGCTTCTTGACRGAGCAGCAATACTCATTATCTGAGGCAAAGGTGACAGTGCCCCAGGCTGAGATGCACAGGCCTCTCAGAGAAGTGCCTGCTGGAACTAAACTATAGAATAGCCAAAAATCTCATCCTCGAGTCCATCTTTCCCTTCAGACAAAGCTAAGACTTACATTCTCTCCTGGACCGTTCAAACTAAATTATGGGCTGCCCTTAAATTGGTAAAAGCTGATTCCAGGATTCCTTCCCTCTTAGCTCCACCAAGGGAAATGGAAAAGCAAGTAAACATTATGGTCCCAATGTAATTTAAATGGGACCTTGCACTTAACACAAGAGCTTCAGAAGGGTCTTGCACTGCCTCAAACTGGAGCTTGCAGTCGTCTTGAGCTGTCCAGTTGAATGAATGTCTCTGCTGCCAGTGGTAACTGTAGAACAATGGAAAGAACAATTCTCTGCTTATCAGGCTCTGAATGTGGAAAAATAAGCTCAAAGAATAACARTGTTCATTCTTGTGCTGAGTATGAAGGCACGGCTAAAGTGCAGTTMGAGTGAACATTACTGATTTTTGTTGGTTTTGGATTGCTTTTGGCAGTCCTCATAACTGTACACTGTTGTGTGCTGGGCTTTCAATCAAATGAAGTTCTTTGTTCCCACTACACAAATGCAGACAGTGCCTTTTTCAATGGGCATTTGTCATTGTTAAATTAAATATGTATATGTGGTACTTTTCCAGGATTTAGAAAAACACTCTCCATATTGATCCATAAAGTATTGCAGRGCTTCACTGTTTTGCAAGGATACAAACAAGTCACAGTTGATGAGTCCTGTAGCTTGCAAAACTGTGAAAGGATTGTTTCAGAAAATAAATTTGGTTCATCCCACTGCTGAGAGTGTGTGTGTGTGTGTCTGCATAAAGCATGTTTTGTAGTCAGATTAAACCTTATTAACATGTAGCAACATTTTTTTTTTTTTTGTGTGTGTATGCCTTAGGAAACATTTGTATTTTTATTTTGGTTTTTTGTCATTAATCCATAAAACCATTAACATGCCTTTTTCTTTCATTTTCAGTTCGGGTTTCCTGTAGAACCTTTCCCTTGGCACCAGAGGCGAATGTCCCACCCTCAGCTGTGCCATTGTGCCTGTTTGCTCACCTTCCCCATTGCCCCCTCCCGCTCACCGCTCGCGGTTAAACCAGAGCTCTTGGCTGCTGGGGTTCTTCTTGTGAGGGACCCTGCTGGCCAGAGCAGCTTGTGCCAGCTTCCTCCTGCCCCTTGGGTGCTCTTGGGTGTTCCTTTCCCATTGCTCAGCTTTTCCCTGCTCCATGCTGTGCGAGAGCTGCTTGGGGATTGCATTTAATTCCCGCTGTGCGTGTAGCCCGGTGCTGCCATGGGTGGGATGTGCTGTCTCTGCAGACTGCCTGCCCTCTCCCCGTGTTCATTTGCTGTTCCTAACCCCTCATTACCCCCTGTGCTGCCACGTGTGACTCAAATAACTTTCAAGGACTTCTTGCAAAACTTGACATCCTCACAGGCGTGGGCCTGAGTCCAAACCTCTAGTTCCCCGGCTTGAGGAAATCTCAAATTTGGATCCATGGTTTGCAACTAAGTGTTCTCTGAATGCTGCAGGGGTCACGAAGGATCTCTTGCCTTGTCTCCTTCTCGGTGTGCTGGCCTGGATGCACATCCTGGATCCAATCTCAGGGAAAGCTGGTCACCYTGCTGTACATATCAGTGTTTCTGAAGAAAGACGATGCTGTTTCTTTGACTTTCTTCTCAGTGATTCCAACAATTTCTGGTTTTCATGCAAAAAGATACTACATTTATTTTTTTTAATCTGGCATCTCTTTAGAACTGCACAGATGTTGACAGGTTTCTTCTCATATTTTCTATTCAGCAAAAGCCTTGYTTTTACTGCAGGATTTGCACTAAAAAGGAGGGTTTGCTCACTGGGCCAGGACTTCACTCTGGCCAGGTGCAACTGTAGTTTGCCTGCAGGTGTCTTCTCTGTGTATTTCTGGCTGAGTTTTGTTTTTAAATAAAGAGTTCATCGGACAGTGAATTCTGGTTAACATTTACTTCTTTTGTTTTTTGTTTTCTTTGCCCTTCTTTTACAGTAACCCATGGCTCTGTACTGAGTAATTACCCCTGAATACAATGGGCTGGAATGGACCTTCATTTACTTGTTAAATCGGAGGGTCTAATAAAACATGACAGCATTTCAGCTGTGACCTTTCCAGGGTGTTACCCTTCCTCTCTCCTGTGTTCTCATTGTGATTCTGTCTTTACTATGTACTGGTGGTTATTGCTTTTATTAAACCATGTAAAATTAGTCATAACAAAGTTTTGGATGCTGCAACTCTAAATCCTGCCATTTTTCCCCCCCTACAATTAATGAATTCCCCTTTTTCCTGGTTTCTCTCCACCCAGATAAATAAGGGATATGGAAATCAGGTCTGTGAGTTATTTTTGCTGGCAAAATAACAACGCAGTTTAAATATATTTATTGGTGAGATTAAAATGACAATGCCACCTTAGTTTAATTATCACATAGTTTAGAGATAAAACACTCTTTTCTCTTTATACTTGGTGTAATTTTCATGACATCATCTGTCTTTTTAAATTTGCTTTTAYTTTTCCTTTTGCTAATTCCTGCTATCTGAAGAGTCGCGTGTAAATCCTCGTTTCCATTTCAGACTTGCCTGTTGTGGTGCTGATCCTTCAGYGGTGCTGTGGGCAGGCTCAGTGCTCTGGATGTGGTGAATCCACACGTCCTGCCCCTGCTGAAGGATCAGATGCTGCCAGCAGCCTCCACAGAAACGCCTCCAGATCCTGGCACAGCCCAGGCCTAGCCTGGTAGGTGATGCTGTCAGTGCCAGCTRCTGCTGGGAGTTTTCCCCAGCAGTGCTCTGGTGATGCCACAGGCTCAGGAGCAGTTTCAGTTTGGCTCCTGCTCACAGCTCAGCCCCAGACCAAGCCACAGCAYGGCCTCTGTTCCCAGCAGTCAGGGCAGTCCAGATCTTGACTGCAATGTACTTTCTCAGGTATTCTGTTTCACCATAAATACAATTTCATTTCTCATAGAACTCATTGATTGCATTATGGTTTGTTTGGGGTTTTTTAGCAAGTTAAAATAATTTGGGTATTTTCTTCTTCCTGTGCTTTTGAATGTTACCCTGCTCCCAAAACCAGTTAATATTAATCTGTCAATGATTTGTAGATTATCCACTAAAAGGACAATTGAATGTGGCTTTTCTTACCAAACTGCAGGTTGCTGTTTGTTCATCCTGACCGTTTACCTTATTAGAATGTTATTTAAAGTTATGTGAAATCTTTTTGAAAAAAGACCTTAAAGCAAAGAAGGTTTTTACTTGTGTGATTTCCCTGAAGTACKTGAGGTGCCACAAGGAGGTTCCATCTCTCCTCTGTCAGCTGTTTCCATGTTGCATCTCTTTTTCTTGCTTTTTGAATGTCTTTCTCTTTTTCGCTAATCTTCTGTTTTTTCTCTTTTTTCCCCTTTTCTCTCTCTGTAGCTTTTTTTAATCTGTCTTCGCCAGCTGCACTGTGTCTGAGGGAGAAGACTGCCACTTCTAGAAGAGTTTAAGGGTCTTATGTCTGGGGAGGGGGGAACAAATCTTCAGTGTTAGTGTCTTGGAAAGAAGCTCTTTTACTGACTTGCATGATACCTAAAATTGAAATGTCTTGTAATTTGTGTGACAAGACAGGGTGATGCGGGGGGAACTGATTACCTGGGATTTTGAAGAGCAACAGAAATGTGATGTTGGGACTAATGATGTAGCGAATACATTTTCAAACGTTGTTATGGGCATATGTTTTTTCTAATGTTGTCTTTAATAATATAAATGTMATGGGCTTCCTTGAGGTGTGAAGCCTAAGGAATATTTTCAATATGCTGTAGTTTGATTGGTTTTGGAAACCGTGCGTTCAGACTCAAAGGAAATACAAACATGGTGCAACTTGCTCTGTTGGCAGCCACGAAATATTTAATTTTATCAAAGAAATAAAGTAAGAACTGTGTGTTCTCACTGGTGTCCTGCTGTGTCTCACCACCCTGTTAAACAAGCCCCATTGGCTGGTGGACGTGAGTCAAGTGGTAATTTCTTTTCCTAACTCCACCTCCTCTCGTTCCTTAAAGTTAGGAGAAGTTGGCAGTGCCGGGAGGGAGAGGCGATGCCGGGGCTGCTGTAAGGATGAATTCCAGCCCGCCGTGAGCGGGGTGCAGTGTCCCGGTCCCGGCGGTGCTGGTGCCGCCCGGGCACTGCTCGCCCCTCCGCTCCGCGCTGCCCTGCCCGCGCCCCGCATGCTCCCCGTGCCGCTCCCGTCCCCTTTTTACCAACGGCAGCGCGTGAAAACGGCACCGAGTTCTGTATTTACACGGCAAACACTGAGGAACCAGCACTGTTCCGCCTGTTACCTTTCTAACTTTCATGTAAATTTTAAATAAAAAATACGAAAGCCAGCGCGGCTGCTGTGGTGTGTGTGTGCTGCTGGCGGGGCCGGAGAGCTCGGGACGGGCACGGGGCAGCCGAAGCGGGGCGGGGGCGGCGGGTCGGCAAGGCCTGGGGCAGGGCCGGGCCCCGCGGAGACACCGGGGGAGGGCGGGAGGGGAGCGGGCCCGTCGGGACCGTGGGGATGCTCGGAACCGGGGATGCACCGGGCCCCGCTCGGGCCCCGCCCACACAGACCACGCCCATCAGACCACGCCCCCCTCAGACCACGCCCCGACAGACCACGCCCCCAGCCAGTGGCAGTGGCCGCCAGGGGGCGCTGAGGCTCGCGGCGGTGCCCCGCCATGGCGGCTGTGTCCCGCGGCGTCTCGCGCGATCGTGACGTTCGGGCACGTGAGGCGGCGCCGGCCGGGCCGCGCCGTTCGGCCCCGCGCGAGTGACGGGAACGGGAACGGGACCGGGACCGGGAGCGGCGCTGGCACCGCGACGGCACCTGCGGGGCGGGGCCGCCTGCGAACGGGGCCCGGGCCGGGACAGCTGACGGAGGGGCTGAGGCCGGGCCGGACCGGCGCTGCCCGGTGGCCCGCAGCGGCGCCGCGGCCTGGTCCACACGTGGGGCCTGGTCCCGCCGTACGCGCCCGCGTCCCCGGCGGGGTTCGGCCCCGAGGCCTTKGCCCACCATGCCGCCGCCGGCCGAGCCGCAGCCGGAGCCGGTGCCCGAGCCGGTGCTGGAGCAGTGGCGGCAGTACAACGAGACCGAGCGGCAATGGGCGCTGCGCCGCCGCTTCATCGTTCGCCACCTCTCCGCSTACCCTGGCGCCGCCATCGACCAGCTGCTGGCGCTCTCGGTGCTCTGGACCAACCACGTCTTCATGGGCTGCAGGTGAGGCCCGGGGCTCTCTCGGCGTGTGGCAGCCGGGGGTGCTCCGTGCACGGCCCGTGCTCCGCAGCAGTCGGGGTGCGAGTTTGAAACCGAGCCGGGAGCCTCTGCGGGGAGACCGGGCACAGGCTGCCGTCGGGGCCGAATCTCGCCCCAAATCCTTTTATAAAGTAGCCGCAGAAGAGCTGGGATGGAAGAGGGTGATGCAGGAAAACTTCGTCCCTGGCTAGTTTTGTTTGCTCGAGTATGCCAGTGTTTGTATGTGGAAGGAAGCAAGCCGCTGGAAAAGTCTATGTGTGTTTTGAAAGTAGTTCTTAATGTCCCGCCCCCAGGACTCGTTAAGCTGGTGGTGCTGTGCTGTGTCATTTAAATGAGGAGAGAATTTCCCTCTGAGCATAAAGCAGCCTGTACAGTCCCCTGAACGCTCAGCTTTTCGGGGAGAAAYAGGCCTGGAGAATGGAAGGATTTTATCCAGCCGTACTGTCCCTAGCCAAATTGTGGAGACCTGCAGAAACGTCACCCACGTTCCGCTGACACTTTTGRTGTTGTGATCGTTTTTAACAGGACKTAGGGACGGAAGCAGTTGCTTAACGACCAACTTCTGCAAACTGTGCAGTGGCACAGGAGCTTGTGAGTTCTGATGGCACATGGATGGATTTTTATTAATGTTCCATCCCGGAGCTTTGTGGGAGAGTACTTTGTACAGACCAAAGTCAATATCTTTAA